ACACAAGCTGCACTCGCCGCCGGGCTCCGTGCGTGTGTTGGCGTGACGCCGTCCTGACAAAGAGGGGGTGACGGTCCCCAAAATGTCATTGAGGGTGGCCCCCAGGGTGCTGACACCCAAAGTGAGGGCACGGGACAGCGGGTGTGGGGACAGGGTGCTGCTTTATTGCAGGGGGGATGCAACTGTCCCCCAGGATGGGGAGGGGGCGCAGCACCGGCGTCACCAAAATACACCCCTTTCCTCTGTCCCCCCGCTGGGGACACAGAGGGGACATTTTGGGGACATTGTCCCTAGACAGAGATGGAACCGTCGCGGAAGTCGGTCTTGCCGATGAGGGCATTGATGAGGACGGGGCGACCTTGGCGGCACGCATCCTGCGCGGCGCGGAGGACGGCGTCCAGCCGCTCGTGGTCCGGGCGACCCACCACGAAGCCTTTGCCACCCAGAGCTTCAGCCACCGCGTGGTAGTCTGCGGAGGGGGGACAGTGGTGGTGGCCCTGTCACCTCCATGGGAATGGCATGATATTGGGGTGACATGGGGCCACGGGGCATGGCTCGATACCGGGTGACGCTGGGCTACTGGGCTTGATCCTCCCCAGGGTGGCACGGTGCCACCAGCCGTGGACTGATCTGGGGTGGCACGGTGCCACCAGCCATGGCTTCATCCTCCCCAGGGTGGCATGGTGCCACCAGCCATGCCTGATCTGGGGTCACACGGTGCCACCAGCCATGGCTTCATCTTCCCCAGGGTGGCACAGGGCCACCAGGCACAGGCCAATTGTCCCTGGAGGTGACGTGGCCACGTGATGGTCCCCAAAGCTGCGTGATGCCACCAGGCATGGCTCAATGCACCCCAGGGTGCCCATGATGCCACCAGGCACAGCTTGATCCACCCCAAGGTGTCATGATGCCACCAGGCATGGCTCAATCCACCCTAGGATGACATGAGGTCACATGGGTGTCCCCAAATCTGGGGACAAAGGGGAGGGGACGGTGCTCACCGAGGTACTCGAGGCCACACGCCACGTTGCTGCCCAGCAAAGCCACTTGCTCCCGGGAAATCTGGCTCCAGCACGCGTCATTGCCCACCAGCGCGATGATGGGCGTCTGCAGGGGACAAAGCATGGGGCCACCGCGCCCCGGTGACACCCTGGGATGGGCACA